AAAGGGAAAGAGTGTGGGTTTGTAAACCTGGTTCACGCCTTCTTCCATCATAAGAGAGACACAATAAGCACTAAACCAAAAACTTTGAGATTTTAATAAAAAATCAAAAGTTTAAAAATGGAAATAAAGCAAAAGTTACCATATTAACATGGAATATGTAGTAAGAATGCATATTTGGTTCATTTTTTTTGGATAGGATGTATTTACTAATTCATTAAGTAAACTATATTGATTACTTTTGGAAAAATTTTTACAATAAATTCTAATGAGATAAACCAAAAGTTAGGACAAAGAAATTCGCTTTCCAATTTAAGGACTACTGATGACTAATCAATGGCAGTTCATGTAGCAAATAGGTTTGGCTCAAAACACTTCTACTTGGCCGTGGAGTATTCAGGGTATGGTTTCCATCTCAAGTAGACGTGTCAAATGTGAATCATTTACGCATACAAAGAAGAGAACAAACTAATTTAAAAATGGCTTAACTTGCCGATTTTGAGTCGACTTCAAGATGCAAGTATCAGCCTACGCAGAAGACCTGGGCATGGGATGCCTCTGAATCTGTCCTGTGGCATAATATTCTCAGTGAAGTCTGGTTATCAGCACCTAGTTTGCAACTTGAAGATCTCAAGTCCTCAACCAATTCTCGAGTCTGCAAACGATTATGGCCGAAAAAAAATTAATATCATATCTTCCTGTAGCATAAACATGGAAAAATATTTGCTGGTGGAACTAATAATTAGTTAGTGTAAAAATTAATAATTTGATTAAAAATTTTCAATCAATTTATTTATATTTTAAAAATCAATATGGATTTTAAAGTTATAATTTCAATTTAATTATCAAATAACTTGATTCAAAGATATTAAATAAAATATTATAAGAATCAAAACTCCATATAAGAATCTTATATAAAATAAATTCAATTCTAAGTTTTTTACTTCATTATATCTCAATTTAGCTTACAAAATTAAGAATATATTTATCAAATAATAAATAAAACATATATATTTTTATCCATTGTTCAAAATTTCTTATCAAAAACATATTTAAAAAATAACATATTTATATATTTTTAATTTCTTCACTTTTTCTCCTTAAATTTTTATCCATTAATTAAATCTAACATCAATTTTTTTTGGTACTAAAAAATCTATGATGAAAGATTTTTCATTTAAAATCAGAAAAGATCATATAAACGTCAAGGATAACTTATATTGAATTTACGGTGAATAACATTAGGATTAGTTACCTGGAATTTTGTTAGCTCAACACTCAATAGATCTATAAAGGTAGGTTGCACTTTGTTTTGGCTTTTCATTAGCAACAACTAGTTACGTATCCTTTTGCATTTATTGAAATTGATAATAATGTTATGTCATAAAATCAATTATAAATCATATTATTGTTATAATTTATAAAATTCTAGCCAATATTGTTATAAAATTATACGTCATACAATTCATACTATAAATTTTTGTATCTAGTTGCTATTGTTGTTTTTATTGATATCAAACAATATAATAATTTATTTTATTATGAAAAAACTCTTTGTTTAAGATCAATTATTGTTAAATCGGATGCCTCATAATTTTTTTTTATGCTTTTATTTTAGATGCTGAATTTAATTTAATTTATGTAACATAATTTTTTTAATTCATCAATTTAATTTTTTTTATAAATTTTTATTTAATATTTTTAATAAAAAATTCCCAAATTTTACCTACAAAATTTCATCTAAAACCTCATTTAAAATGAATTGGTGTTACTGTACTTTGTCGTTTGGATCAAAAAGGCCCGATCTGGTTGTGTTTACATGGCATCAATGTAAGACTTAAACTCAATTGATGGGAAAGGCGGAAAGGGTATGGTGGTGATTGATATTTTTGCTTTTCTTTTTTAATTTAATTAATAAATTATGAAATAATTTTTTAATTTAATATAATGAAAATTTTTATTATATAATAAACTTATAAATAAATAAAATTATTATTATATTTTAATTAAAAATTATTATTTTATAAATTTTAATGTTATATAAAAGATTAACTAAATATTATATTATAAACTAAACATAAAATTTAGTGTTATATTATATTATGTTAGTATTTTAACTAAAAATAGATAACTATGTCATTAATTAAAAATAAAGAAAATATCATTTGATATATTATTATTTTTATTAGTTTTTAATTATTCATCAATAAAGTTATTATTTGATATAAAAATAATTTAATGAATTTTCAATTATTTATTAATTTTATAAATGTTAAATAATTTAAATTTTTTTTATATATAATTTTAATATAATATCTTTAATGGTTATTTCTTTTCTAACTATAATTCAACTCACTTCAACGATTCATTTGCATCGAAATACTTATATTCACAATTGATTTTAATATAATAAATATAGTATCTAATTTCACCGTTATTTTTAATTTTACTTGAATCAATCTTATTACCCATTTAAATAGACTCTAAATTATTCTCATTACACTAAAGATGTCAATCTTATCCAAATTCGATGAAAATTTTAATTTTTTATCCTAATAAAAATAAAATAATATTAAATTTTAAAAGTTGATATTGAAATGTGTATGATTTTAAAGTTTCACTTACAAAATTTTATTTAACTCATTTAAGTCTTTTTTATTGTACCATAATGTTGATGATTCTTGCTTATAGTCCGACTTAAAATTTAATTGGTACCATGAACACATTAAAAATGAATGGGCAAAAGAATTGGATTTCCATACTAGATAAAAGATTGGCTTGAATCAAATTAAATGAAAAAAAATTTTACATATATGTAAGAATTATTGTTTTATATATTGATTTGACCTACTTCACTTGTCATAAAATTCTTTTTCTGGGAATATTCTATCCGAAATTGGCTTATTGAAAAGTCTTGAGTTGATTTCCTTATCAAATAATGAGATCAATGGTTCCATTCTACAAGAAATAGGGAGGTTGAGTTCAATTTCCTGCATCTTTTTCTCTTATAACCATCTACGTGGTTCTATTCCTGGAGAGGTTTGCAGCCTTTCCAAGCTCACTGGTCTTGGCTTGTCACAGAATAATTTCTCTGTAAGTATTCCACCTAAAATCGGAAGGTTGAGTTTTACTTTCTCTACTTCTCTTTGATGCAAACAATCTCACCAGTCCAATACCTATTTCTATTGGAAGCTTGCATAATTTGTCCCAACTTGTCCTAGTTGACGATAGTCTCAATGGTGCCATACCTAGAGAAGTTGGGATGATGAAGTCACTCAATATGCTTGATCTTTCAATAAACCAACCAACTGGGTCCTGTCCCAACATCTCTAGGAAACCTAAGGAACTTGGTATGGCTTTATCTGTATGGTAATAACCTCTCTGGTTCTATCCCTAATGAAATAGGATAGCTTGGATCTCTTATCACAATGCAGTTGTTAAGTAATAACCTCACTGGTGTCATCCCTGCTTCCATAGGAAACTTAACCAAATTGTCTACTCTTTACCTTTTTGAAAATAAGCTTTCCGGGTCAATACCTCAAGAGATAGGGATGCTTGTATCTCTTACAGAACTTATTTTCTTTGATAACAATTTCTCTGGTTCAATCCCTGCTTCCATAGGAAACTTGACCAGCTTATCTACTCTCTACCTTGATCAAAATATGTTTTCTGGTTCAATCCCTGCTTCAATTGGAAACATGACGAAGCTTGTGGGGTTAAGTCTTCTGTATATCTTTTATCAGGGCCAATTCCTTCGTTCAGCAATCTTACTCATTTGGAATCACTCCAAGTATCGGACAACCATCTCGGTGGTCCATTACACGAGAATGTATGCCTCGGTGGACAACTCATATATCTTGGGGCTATCAACAACAATTTGACGGGTCTGAACCCATCAAGTTTAAGAAACTGCAAAAGCTTTTACAGAGTTAGGCTTAAAGGAAAGCAGTTGACAGGAAATATATCAGAAGCTTTTGGTATATATCCTAATTTGAATTATATTGCATTAAGCAACAACAAATTTTATGGTGAACTTTCTTCGGGCAGTGCCATAGTCTAACAACCTATGAATTCCAATAATACATTTTCTAGAAGATACACCTGACTAAACATGCAACTCAATTACAAGAAGTCGACGTCTCTTCAAATCATCTCATGGGTGAGATTCCCCAAGGAATTGGAAGCATTGACATTGATGTTCAATCTTTTGCTAAGTGGTAACCAACTTCAGGCAAAATTTCATCAGAGAGTGGTGTTCTTTTCAAACTACGACATCTTAACTTGGCATCAAACATTTAAGTGGTCAATTCCTAATCGACTTGGAAAATGCTCTAAGTTATTGAACCTGAATTTGAAGAAGAATAAACTTGGAGAAGCATTCAATTTCAATTAAGCTACATATATGGTCTGAAAATCTAGATTAGTCAATTTACTTATTGGGAGATACCACAACAGGTTTGCAAATTACTTTCCTTGGAAATGTTGGACCTTTCTCACAATATGCTCAATGGTTCCATCCCAAATTCTTTTAATGATTTGCAAAGCTTGACTGTTGTGAATATCTCTTGCAATCAATTAGTAGGTCCTATACCCAACATTAAGGCATTTCATGAGGCTTCGTTTGATGCCTTAAGAAACAATAACGGCCTATGTGGTAATGCCACTGGACTAATGCATTGTGTCGTCGCTGCTGCTAGCAACAACGTTGGTCATAGAAAAAGCACCAAGTTCATCATTTTCATTGTGCTTTCACTCTTTGGTCTTCTTCTTTTACTATTTATCATGGCTGGAAGTTTCTTTATTCTTTGCCAAAAGAACCGAACTAGAAAATCTGAGTCAATGGAGGCACAACTTGGAGATTTTTTCACATTGTGGGGATATAATGGAAGAATACTCTATGAGAACATTATTGAAGCCACTGAAGATTTCAGCTCCAACAATTTCATTCAGGAGGCTATGGAGCTGTTTATAAAACTGTGCTACCCATTGGTGAGGTGGTTGCAATGAAGAAACTTCACCAATCTGAAAATAACATGATTTCCAACAACTTGAAAGCCTTTGAAAGAGAGATTCATGGTTTATCAGAAATAAGGCAACGTAACATTGTGAAGCTGTATGGCTTTTGTTCACATCCAAAGAACTCATTTTTGGTTTATGAGTTTGTAGAAAGGGGAAGTTTGAAAATGGTGTTAAGGAATAAGGACGAGGCAATGGAGTTGGATTGGGAGAAGAGGTTAAATGTTGTAAAAGGAGTGGCCCATGCCTTGTCCTATGTGCATCATGACCATTCATCACCTATTATTCATCGAGACATTTCCAGCAACAATGTTCTTTTGGATTTGGACTATGAGGCTCATGTCTCAGATTTTGGCACAGCCAGGCTTTTAAAGCCTGATACTTCCAATTGGGCCTCACTTGCTGGCACTTTCGGATACATAGTTCCAGGTATTTATTGATCTCTTTTTTTTTTAAAGATGCTTTAAACATGTAATCATTGAATTAAAAGTGTTAGTTTTGTGTGCAAATTGATGCGTTAAAACAAAGTTCACGTGGTATCATGATTGTAACTTTTCAAAATTTAAGTATCAATTTGACTATAATTCAAGTATCAAATGAGTAATTAATTTTTAAAGTTTAACACTTAATTTTTCAATATTCAACATATCAAACTGATGAACTGATTGTAAATTTTATTTGAACCTTTGAATTTTCAATTTTCAAACTAATCTTCTAAACATTCGCAATTTCTTTCAACATACATTTTATAATCTTCTCAATATTTTTATATAATACTGTATTGGTTAGATATATTGTTGCTTAATAGAAGCACATGATTAGATATGTTTCTTTAACAAAGTTCGCTTGTACAATGAAGGTAGAAAGAGATGCGATGTATATAGTTTTGGAATTCTAATAATGGAAGTTCTTATGGAAAGACATCATGGTGATCTTGTTCAGTGTTTATCATCATTGGCGTTTGGCATCGACATCGGCTTTGGTACCTAATGACTACAAATTTATTAAGATGCGATAAACAGCAAGCATCTCTACCACTAGAAAAACAATTTAGTAGAGAGGTAGTATATTTACTACAAAGGTAGCATTTGCATACTTGAACTAACGGACAATCCCCAACTTTGGCCAACCATGCAATAGGTTGCTCGAAGCCATTATCAGTCAATAGTTTTCCATTTCCCAATCTTTTCACTATCAACAAATTGGGAGAACTGTTGGTCATGGAGTTTGTGGCTAATTAGGTGCTAACAATTTGGATAATAATTCTTGGTATGAGTATAATTTGCTTTCTCAATCTCCTTCTTTCTCTCCTTTGTATTCAAATGTTTAAGCAATCTAATATATATGTGGTTAAATATTTGATTCACTAATGGTGACATTTCATTAATAAATAAAATTAAAATTAGTTAAATCTTTAAAAATAAATTACTTCTTACATATGCAAGGTCAATGGGTTAAACAAAAGCAAATCACTTGAATATAGTAGAGGGAGAATTTAATCAGAAATTAACATAAAAAGAGAGATTAGGGAATTTTTTTTTGAGTTTTAGTTTCACAGTATCGTTGGATAGTAACATTGTTGTTTGGAAACTTTTGGTTAAAAGCTTCTTTTCCATTTGTATCAAACATTTTTTGTTTATGTTTTTTATTTTTTTTTCTTTTTTTGAATTGGAGGTAGGTCAGTGATTATTAGCTAAATGTTCGTGTTCAAAAGTTTTGTTTTCTTGAAATTATATATTAAAATTGTGTAATAATCCTAAATAAGGAATTGTGTTAATTAACACTAACATGAACCTACTATATTTAAAATATTAAAATTTTAGTTTGAGCTTGTGAAATGTTGAAATTTCCTTGACTTTTTATGTAAAATAAAGTTTAATTAAATAAAAAATAATATTTTATAATTTCATCTAGATAAACATAAGATGACCGAACCTATACAAGCATGAAAGACAACAAAACTTGCAATGATATTAAGAAAGAAGCCATGATTTGGATAGTTCAAAGGAATATATATTTTATTAATTATTTAAGTATAAATTACATTGACTAGCCCGGATGGTCAGGTATTTATTCAACCCTCTCCAGTTAATTTCCACAAAGACTAACAAACTAACGTGTTTCATGGCAATAATAATTAGTAAATCTGTTACACGCGCGAGTCAACTCAAGACCGCAAGGTTGTGATCAAATCATTGCAAACCCAAGTAAATCATGAATGACGTGAAACACTTCTTGAAAGACATCTCAAGTCTTCCTCCAATTGACATTGGCGTCAATTTTAGATATTTCTACTTTTTCTTGTCTTTTCCTTTCTTACGTTTTTTTTCTTTATTACGTAGAAAGGCAGCTAACTCTTATACTAGTTTTAAAAGACTTCCTAAGACTTATGAAGTCTTCCTCCAATTGACGTTGGCGTCAATTGAGATGTTTCTAATCTTTTTTTTTTCTTTTCATTTTTTATTGTGGTTTAAAAATGAAACACAGTTGATTGGGGGCAGCTAGAAAAAGAAATTTAATATTAAGGTTTTTTTACTATTAGATTACGATTTTTTAAAAAAGTTAGTCCTTTTATATTAGACTATGATTTTTTTCAAAAATCAAAGTTTTTACGTATATTAAACTGCAAATTTATCTATATAGACTATGATTTTTTTAAAAATCGTAGTCCTTTTATATATTTGATTATAATTTTTTGAAAGTTGTAATCTTTTTAATATTAAACTATATTTTTCATACTAAACTATTATATATAAACTATATTTTTATCTATCTGGCACATTTTTATTTATTTAATTTCTAATTTTATGTATGAATTAAAATTATCAAATTATTTAAAAATATAAGAATAAAAATAATTATTTTAATAATAAAGTCATTATTTTAAATAATTAAAATTTCTTTAATATATTTTAATTTTAAAAATTAAAAAATTTTAAAAATATAGGCAAAAGTTATCACTAATTATTATATTTCATTAAAAAAATTCAAATGAAGTTAAAACATACACTCAATAGAAATAAAAACATTAAGTAAACTAAATTACTAGAGCGTAGCTAGATGTCCATCATTATTACACAAATTAATTTTTATTTATATCCTTTTTATGCATAATATTGTACATATATGTTAATTTGCATCACCAATTATAATTCCTGGATCCGTTATACATGACAGTGAACTTAATTCAGTTACAAGTTTAATTTGCACTAATCCTTCTTAAAATTTTATTTTTCTTTCTTTATGGAAGGGAAATTAGCCGGGGTTACGTATTTTGGCAAAACAAATTTATTTGGATTCATGCATATTGTATATTTGGTTATCAAAATGCATTTAAAAGGGTATGCAAAGCAGGAAAAATAAAAATTATCAAAATATTTTATTAAGTTGATTGATGTAGTATTTCTTCTCTAAAATAAAATTTAAATCTATTTTTTTAAAAAGGAAAAAACAAAAAAAATTTAACTATGAACATAGTTAGATGTCAAAAAGAAAGTTTATGGTTAAAATATTTTTGTGTATTGATTTAGGATGTAATTTATTTGATATTGAAGCCCTATTTTGATATTACTAATAATCTTACATTCTTGATACTCGAAAATATTGTATAACCAAATATAATAATTAAATAATCAAAAATAAAAATATGATTAATAATCTTCCTTTTTTTTTTAATCAAACGCCTTTATAAAAAAAATATGATTATGATGCAAATTTTCTGAAAGTTGGAAAGTTTGCATTTCTTAAAGTAATTGATTTGTCTTTTATCACCTTTTTTTTTTTTTTTAATACAGGAAGATCTGCGTCACTCTGTCTACTTTTTCTTTATTTTCTATTTGTTTGAAATGTTGGCTACTTTTTTATTTCTAAACCAATGAGTGTTAAGTATAAAGTTATGACTAAAAGAATTAAAAGAACCTAAAATGTGAAAACATTAATATTTCTTGTTGAAAGTGGGATCAAGCCCTTATTAAATTTCTTCTTCTAGGCTATGGTTGGATGAAGTATTTGAAGGGTGTAATGAATTTCAAGCAGGCTTTTCAAAAGTCAAAAAATAAATTCATTTATTTTGCTAAAAAGAAGAAGGGATTTCAAATTTTGGCAAATTTCAAATGTGTAATTAAAATTGAAAGTTGGATCAAATCCACCAAATCTCTTTTTTGTCATCAAGTCAAGATCTCGTGGCAGGAAAATGGGGTTTATGAGAGAAAAAGTTTAAACTCTTTTTTTTTTTTTTTTGAGATAGAAAGACAATAGTGATGAGTGAGTTTTTTACTCTTTTTTTGCTTTCAGCATGTGGGGAAAGTATGAAGGTATTTTTTTAATTTCTTGATTATTATTGTTTACTTACCTTTTTTTTAATTGGTCGAAATGACATACTTGTCAAAGGCAATCCAAATAATTTTACAGTGTGACGTGATTTTCACCGTTCAATGGAGTGTTGAGTTCTAGTACTCATTTGCCCTTTTATTTGTTAATTTATTTTTTTGTTTTCTGTTTCAAGTTAATCACTTAATTTTTTTTTCTGTTTTTTTACTTAAAAATTATAAAATAATTTTGTAAATTTAATATAAAATAAATTTTATTATTATATAACAAATTAATAAATAACTTTTAATTATTTATTAATAAAATCATTATTTGACATAAAATAATTTAATAATAATTTATTACTTTTATAAATATTAAATAATTTAAAATTTTTATTACATATAATTTTGATTTAATATTTTTAATAATCATTTTTTTACTATAATTCATCTTATCATCATCATTATTTTTGAATTCAAAAACATTTTACAATTGATTTTAATTTTTTTTATTACGATTATCTATTTTATATCTACCACTATTTTTAATTTTATTAAAACTAATTTTAATATCCAAAGTGATTGCAATAGCACGTAAATCATGTGTGAAAGACTTCCTGAAAGACTTCTGAAATCTTCCTCCAATTGGCGTTAGCGTCAATTGGGATGTTTCTAACCTTTTTTTCTTTTCATTTCTTTATTATGATGGAAAAAAAGAAACACAGTTGATTAGGGTGGGGCATCCAGGGAACTTGAAAATTTTTTTTTTTTTTTAATTACTGTTTTTAACTATTAGATTACGATTTTTTTAAAAAGTTATAGTTTTTTTTTTATATTAGACTATGATTTTTTTAAAAAATCAAAGTTTATAGGTGTATTAAACTACAATTTTATCTATATAAACTATGATTTTTTTAAAAAAATGGTAGTCCTTTTATATATTAGACTATAATTTTTTGAAAATCGTAATCTTTTTAATATTAAACTATATTTTTTTATACTAAACTATTATATATAAATTATATTTTTATCTATCTGGCACATATTTATTTATTTAACTTCTAATTTTATGTATGAATTAAATTTATCAAATTATTTAAAAAATAAGAATAAAATTAATTAAATAATAAAAAATAATTATTTTAAAAATAAAATAATTATTTTAAATAATTAAAATTTGTAACATATTTAATTTAAAAATTTAAAAAAATTTAAAATATATACAAAAGTTATCATTAATTATTATATTTCATTAAAAAAATTCAAATGAAGTTAAAACATACACTCAATAGAAATAAAAACTTAAGTAAACTAAATTACTATGAGCATAAATGTCCATCTTTATTACACAAATTAATTTTTATTTATATCCTTTTTATGCATAATATTGTACATATATATTAATTTGCAACACCAATTATAATTCATGAATCCGTTATGCATGGTGGTGAGCTTAATTCAGTTCCAAGATTTATTTGCACTAATCCTTCTTAAAATTTTATTTTTCTTTCTTTATGGAAGGGAAATTAGCAGTGGTAATGTATTTTAGCAAAATAAATTTATTTGGATTCATGCATATTGTATATTTGGTTATCAAAGTGCATTTAAAAGGGTATGCAAAGTAAGAAAAATAAAAATTTTCAAAATATTTTATTAAGCTGATTGATGTATTATTTTTTCTCTAAAATAAAATTTGAATATATTTTCTTAAAAAAGGAAAAACAAAGAAATTTAGCTAGGAACATAGTTAGGTGTCAAAAAAAAGCTCGTGGTTAAAATATTTGTGGGTATCAATTTAGTATGTAATTTATTTGATATTGAAGCCCTATTTTGATATTACTAATAATCTTACATTCTTGATACTCGAAAATATTGTATAACCAAATTTAATAATCAAATAATTCAAAATAAAAATACGATTAACAATATTCTTTCTTTCGAATCAAATGTTTTTATAAAAAAAAATGATTTTGATGGAAATTTTTTCAAAGTTGGAAAGTTTGCATTTCTTAAAGCAATTGATTTGTCTTCTATCACCTTTTCTTTTGGAAATACAGGAAAATCTGCGTCATTTTGTTTACTTTTTCTTGCTTTTTTATTTTTTTGAAATGTAGGCTACCTTTTTAGTTTCGAAACCAATGAGTGTTAAGCATAAAGTTATGGGTAAAAGAATTAAAAGAACCTTATATGTGAAAACATTAATATTTCTCTGCATGATTTTGCGAAAGCAATATCACCCTCTGTTTCTTGCTGAAACTAGGATTAAGCCCTTACTAAATTTCTTCTTCTAGGCTACGGTTGGATGAAGTATTTGACGGGTGTAATGAATTTCAAGCAGGCTTTTCAAAAGTCAAAAAATAAATTCATTTATTTTGCTAAAAAGAAGAAGGAATTTCAAATTTTTGGTAAATTTCAAATGTGTAATTGAATTCAAAGTTGGATCAAATCCACAAAATCTCTTTTTGCCATCAAGTCAAAATCTCGTTTTTGGGTTTTTTTTTTTTTTTTTTGATAGAAAAAGAATAGTGATGAGTGAGTTTTTTCCTTTTATTTTTTTCTTTTTAGCTTGTGGAGAAAGTTAAAAGTATGACGAGATTTTTTAATTTCATGATTATTATTATTTACTTACTTTTTTTAATAGGTCGAAATGACATATTTGTCAAATGCAACATTCTAATATAAATATATAATAAAAAAAGATAGAAACAAAACCAGAAAAAAAAAAGTTTGATGCTTTTATTAAACCAACACTTTACCTAAAAACTAAAGTTTATATTCTAAGAATTCTGTTGTTCGATATATAAAAAAAATGCAAATTCTATTTTTTTACTGTACAAATGTTCACACCCTTAGTTTGATTTGATTATCTAATATTGATAAGTTAAGAAAGAAAAAAATGATTTAATGATTTAAGGAATATTGAAGCAAAGTTATAATATTTTTATCTTCCACAGAAGTTCCACACCTCTCAAACGCAGTATATAAGTAAATTACAATTTTCTCATATATAAAATAAATCATAAATAAATGGCACAAGTCATACTAGGTTCTTCTATCACAAGTAAATGGTAACACTCTTTCATCTCATATCTTATTTCATAATTTGAACTAGAGATCTGTAATTTAGAGTCTCAAATTGTAATTAGAAAGATGTCCTTTTGGAACCAATGTAATTATTTAATTAATATTATTTTAAGGTTTTTTTTTTAAATTTTGTTAATTATTTATTTTATCTAATTAAAATTTATTACATTTTTTATATTATTAATTAATAACTATAATGATGGAGCAATGAATCTTAATTAGGTTGTAGCTTTAATGAATATATTGATTAACTATTAGTTAAAAAATTGTGAACCAAAAAATTTGTGATTGTTTATTTTAACATGAATACTGACATTAACTTTTCGTAAATATTTTATGTGATTGAGTTAAATTAATATACATAATATTATTGATTATTTGTTAAACTTCAAAAAGACAAGAAATTAAGAAAATAATTTTTTTATTACGTATTTAAGCTTTTGACAAATTAATTATCTTGGTTTTTCTTTTTTTTCATTTGTAACTTAATACTTCTGTTAATTTCTTTAAACAAATAAAAACATGTTTGACATATTAAAATAAAATAGATATTTCAGTATTCAACAAATAAAAATAATTAAAAGTTTAAACAATAGTATTCTTGGTATTAGATTTAGAAAGAGAAAACAATAATAATAATAATGATTGATCGATTAAAATCGATTGCTTTCAAAAAAAATTTTATGAATTTACTTTCTTTACCAATTTAAATACATTAATGCATTTTTCTATTGCAATTTTATTTGAATGACTGTATGGGAATGATATATATTAATTCACATAGTAAATGATAAAACATTATCTTATACCTCGTAGGTGGAGTTTTTAATAAATAACCATTTATATTAAAATTAGCACCTAAGTTCCCTATGTATATGTGTGTATATGTATTCCTTTGCTTTGGTTTAAAATTACCATTTTAAACTTTATTTTATAAAAAATTCAAACATTGCATTTTTAAATTATGAGAAGAGATCAACTTGCACAAAAAAATTTTAAATTTTTTTTAATCATTAATTGTAATAGATCCAAAAAATAAGATTAAATCATTTTTTTTTCTTTTTGATTTATTTTTACGATAACAAGGTTCTATTAAAATTAATAATTAAAAAATATATAAAAAAATCATTTGATATATTGCTATTTTTATGAGTTTTTAATTATTTATCAACAAAATTATTTTTCGTGGAACGGCTCATGAAGGCTAAAGATATAATCCAGCAAGGCGCATGACTCGTAATCTTCATTGGTCGTTTCGTGTCAAACATGGCCCTATTTTTCATACAAAGATGGGTCAAGTACATTCTATTAATATTTTTCAAAATTTTAATAATTAAAAAAAAATTCATTAGTTATTATTAAAAATAATATGCGTGAGATAAATAAAAGTAAAATGAAATAAAAAAGGACATATAATTTATGTGATTTGACAAAAATGTTTACATTCACAGAGAAAGATAATAGAATCCATTAAATAAAAATATTAAAATTACAATCCTAAAATTTAATAAAAAAAAAAACACATACACATGCATATAAAAGATATTATAAAACATAAAATTATTATTCTATTTTTTATTCTCATCTTATGATGATTCACTTGTATAGTGTGTTTTGTCTTGTGCATTTATTTTATATTTTTCATCCTATAATAATTTATTTTGTTAATTGAAGTTGTTTTAATTTGAAGTCTTAATCTATTTTTATCATTTCATTTTTTTAATCACTAGTTAAATATAATTTACTTATTAATAATTTAAATATTTAATAATATATTTATTTAATATAGTTTTATTTTATAAATTACCAACAAAATATTAAAAATAGTTATAATTTCATTGCAATATAAAAAATTAACATAAATACACTCAAAACCTATGAGCCCATTTAAAACAATTATGGTTAAATATGGCACGATTGGACTTGTATATTGTGTTATGTTAATCTACGTGCCATGTACCGTTAATGGCCTTTAACATACTATATCATATCAAACTGTAGACATGAAATCTTTGAGCTTAGCACAATACATATATATGAATCGTACTTAGCTTAATCTAACTACTTAATAATGAATTGTGCCAAACATAAACAATATTATATTGAATCATATCATGTAATTAATTGTCGAACTCGTTCAATACCTCTAATTATATTATAATGTTGTTGACTCTTACTAATCCTTCATCCTATAATTTATTTTGCACAATAAACACATTAGAAATGAGAGGCCAAAAGAATTGGATAAGACTATATTGAGTAAAAGATTGGTCTTAACCAAATTAAATGAATAAAACTTTATACATTTTAAAATTATTATCTTATATATTGAATTCATTGTTAATTTATAGTCTACACAATTGTCGCATATCCATTTAATGGTTTAATTATTATTTAATACAAATTGATGATAAAATTTTTAAATTTTACAAATTAAATTAAATGATTTATATGTATATATTCGTATAATAAATAATCGATTCATTAATTTTTATAGAAATATTCTTAAAATATACATGTTAATTTTTTAATTTTTTAAAAGAATAAAAAAATTGTATATAAAATATTTAATTCATTAATTTCTTTACATAATTTTTTTATTTATGATCTAATGGTATGTAGTAATCTTATAAGCTCATTTAGAGAATTTTAATATTTGACTGATTTATAGGGCATAATTTTCATTTAAAATAATTATCATGAGTTTTTTTAACATTTGATTAATAATAAGTGCACACTAAAGCTAGAATCGTTCTTTAAACGTAAAAAATCAAATAGTCTTCATCTAACAAAATTAATTTAAACGTAAAAAACCGTTGTCTTGAAGTTGTAATTTTTCACTTGATGTTGATGTTTCATAGTGACTGAAATGTTCTTATATTTTGCATAAATACCTGACCATGCTAGCCATTGTAATTTAGAACAATTAACAAAAGATCCTTTTTGAACTATCCAAATCATGTCATCTTTCTTAATACCATTCAAAGTCATGTTCTTCCTCATACTTGTCCTGCTTCACTCTTCCCCTGTTTTCGCTTCTTCATCCTCCATTGCTGCACTTACAAGAGGTAAAGAAGCGGAAACTCTTCTAAAATGGAAAGCTAGCCTTGACAACAACACCCGAACTTTGCTCTCTTCTTTGTGGGTTGGAGACAGCCATTGCAGCTGGGTTGGAATTGCCTGCGACAAGGCTGAAAGCATCACCAATCTAAGCCTTCCAGATTATGGGTTGAAAGGTACACTTGATAGTCTTAACTTTCTTTTCTGCCATAACCTGAGGAGGCTTAACCTTCGTAACAACTCACTGTATGGGCCCATTCCCACACACATTGGGAACCTTTCCAAGCTCACCTTCCTTGACTTGTCATACAATAACTTTTCGGGGAATATTCCATCCGAAATTTGCTTATTGAAAGGTCTTGAGTTGATTTCCTTGGCAAGTAATGAGATCAGTGGTTACATTCCATTAGAGATAGGGAGGCTGAGTTCAGTTTCCGAGATTTATTTCTTTGATAACTATCTACGTGGTTCTATCCCCGCTTCTATAGGAAACTTGACCTACTTATCTGTTCTCTACCTCTATCGAAATATGTTTTTTGGGTCGATACCTCAAGAAATAGGGATGCTTAATTCTCTCACTGATTTTGAGTTGGGTTATAATAATTTCTCTGGTTCAATCCCTACTTCCATAGGAAACTTAACCAGTCTATCCACTCTCTACCTTCATCGAAATGTGTTTTCTGGGTCGATACCTCAAGAGATAGGGATGCTTAAATCTCTCACTGACTTGGGGTTGAGTCGAAATAATTTCTCTGGTTCAATCACTGCTTCCATAGGAAACTTGACCAGTCTATCCACTCTCTACCTCCATCGAAATATGTTTTCTGGGTCGATACCTCAAGAGATAGGGATGCTTAAATCTCTCACTGACTTGTGGTTGAATCGAAGTAATTTCTCTGGTTCAATCCCTGCTTCCATAGGAAACTTGACCAGTCTATCCACTCTCTACCTCCATCGAAATATGTTTTTTGGGTCGATACCTCAAGAGATAGGGATGCTTAAATCTCTCACTGGCTTTGCGTTGGGTCAAAATAATTTCTCTGGTTCAATCCCTGCTTCCATAGGAAACATGTCCAAGCTTATGAAGATATATCTTATCTATAACCATTTATCAGGGCCAATTCCTTCAACGCTCGGCAATCTTACTCATTTGCAATCATTACAATCAGGAGATAACCATCACAGTGGTCCATTATCTAAAAATTTATGCAGGGGTGGACAACTCGCAAATCTTTCAGTTATCAACAACAATTTGACGGGTCGTATCCCACCAACTTTGAAAAATTGCATAAGTTTATACAGAGTTAGGCTTGAAGGAAACAACTTTACAGGAAATATATCAGAAACTTTTGCTGTGTATCCGAATTTGAATTATATTTCATTAAGCAACAACAGATTTTATGGTGAACTTTCTCCTAAATGGGGACAATGTCATAATCTAACAAGCCTACAAATCTCCAATAACAACATTTCTGGAAAGATCCCACAAGAGTTGCAACATGCAACTCAGTTACAGGAACTCGATCTCTCTTCAAATCATCTTGTTGGTGAGATTCCCAAGGAATTAGGAGCATTGACATTGATGTTCCGTCTTCTGCTAAGTGGTAACCAACTTTCAGGCAAAATTCCACCAGAGATTGCAGTTCTTTCAAATCTACAACATCTTAACTTGGCATCAAACAATTTAAGTGGTTCGATTCCTTATAAACTTGGAAAGTGCTCAAAGTTATTGAATTTGAATTTGAGCAAAAATAAACTTGGAGAAAGCATTTCATTTTCAATAAGCTTCATATATGGTCTTCAGATCCTAGATTTGAGTCATAATTCAATTATTGGAGCGATACCACAACAGCTTGGGGAATTACATTTCTTGGAAATATTGGATCTTTCTCACCATATGCTCAATGGTTCCATCCTAATTTCTTTCAATGATTTACAAAGCTTGACTGTTGTGAATAGCTCTTACAATCAATTAGAAGGCCCTATTCCCAACATTAAGGCATTCCTTGAGGCTTCATTTGATGCCTTAAGAAAAAATAATGGCCTAGGCACAACTGGGAGATTTTTTCACATTGTGGTGATATAATGGAAGAATACTCTAAGAGAACATTATTGAAGCCACTGAAGATTTCAGCTCCAACAATTGCATTGGTTCAGGAGGCTAGGGAGCTTTTTATAAAGCTGCGCTACCCATTGGTGAGGTGGTTGCTGTGAAGAAACTTCACCAATCTGAAGATAGCATGATTTCCAACAACTTGAAAGCCTTTGAAAGCGAGATTCATGCTTTATCAGAAATAAGACATCATAACATTGTGAAGCTGTATGGCTTTTGTTCACATCCAAAGAACTCATTTTTGGTTTATGAGTTTGTAGAAAAGGGAAGTTTGAAAATGGTGTTAAACAACAAGGATTAGGCAATGGAGTTGGATTGAGAGAAGAGGCTAAATGTTGTAAAAGAAGTGGCCAATGCCTTGTCTTATATGCATCATGACCATTCACCACCTATAATTCATAGAGACATTTCCAGCAATAATGTTCTTTTGGATTTGGACTATGAGGCTCATGTCTCATAGTTTGGCACAGCCAAGCTTTTAAAGCCTCACTTCTCCAAGTGGACCTCACTTGCTGGCACTTTCGGGTACATAGCTGCAGGTATTTGTTGATATTTCTTTTTTTAAGATGCTTTAAACATGTCAACATTCAATTACAAGTGTTTGTTTTGTGTGCAAATTGATGCGTTAAAATAAAGTTCAAGTAGTATTATGATTGTAACTTTTCAAATTTTAAGTATCAAATTAAGAATTTTACCATATTTTAAGTGTCGAATGTGTAATTAATCTTTGAAGTTTAACACTTAAATTTTTAATATGCAATATATCAAACTGAAGAACTAAATGTAAAATTTTGTTAGACACTTCGAATTTCAGTTTTCAAGTAGTATTTTAAACATTTACAATTTTTTTTTGACATTATTTTATAATCTTCTCAATATTCTTATATAATAGTGTATTGATAAGATATATTTCTTGCTTAATAGAGCACATTGATATATTTTTCTGAGCAAATTTGGCTTATACAATGAAAGTAGATGAGACATGTAATGTTTACAATTTTGGGGTGCCAACAATGAAAATGCTTATGGGAAAGCATCCTAGTGATTTGATTTCATGTTTGCCATCATCGGCATGGCATCAACATTGACATCGACATTGGTACCAAATGACAACCAACATATTTTATTTAAAGATGTGATTAACCAACATCTTTCACCATCGATAAGACGAGTTGCAAAGGATGTTGCCTCTACTACAAAGCTAGCATTTGCATGCTTGAATGGCAATCACCAACTTTGGCCAACCATGCGACAAGTTGCTTAAGCCCTTACCCGTCAATCGCTTCCATTGCCCAATCCTTTCTCAATCATAAAATTCGGATAATTATGGGATCATGAAATCTACAATGGCTAATATTAAGGTGCTAACAATTTGAATAATAATTTTAAGCACGTGTATTTGCTTTCAATCTATTTCTTGTTCTTTTCTTTGTATTGAAAATGTTAAAACACTCTAGTAATAAAGCTTTTGTGGTGAATTGACTGTAATATTCTACTGTGGTATCGATTTGCTATAGTGTTTCACTTTGGAATGCTACAGCAATTCTAATATCACTTTTTTATTTGTTTGAACAAACAAAGAATACAATTGGTGAGTAAACCAAATTACAATAAACACAACTTCAGGTAATAACCTTTTGATTTTACTATTTACTCATCCATTTATTCTTATATACAGTCATGCACATTATTTCTCACAATTTCATCCTTCTAATCTTTCTTCATTCCTTGTCCTTTAAATCATTCAAAATTTAATCGTTATTGTATTGAATACACTTGAAATAGATTTGAGTGATGATTTTGAACTATATGCCTTTAACTTGTACTATTTTTTAATAAAATGCTAAAAAAATGTTGTCCTTTTCTCAAATTTCTCAAATAAACTTTTATCTTTTTTTATCCAATTGAAAGCATAATTATTCTTATTTAATTAAATCTTATTTTACATGAAAATCACTAAAATTCATTATTTTTACTACATCAACGATAATAATTATTTTTGTTAAATCAATGTTTGATTGCAAACTATAAAAATTTAATTTAAACTATCGTTTACATGATATGTAATGAATGGCTAATGTAGTTGGCCACATTAGCCTCTAAAGAACTTTTTATTGTCAAATATATGCTATATAGATGTTGGCTTCATAGAAGTAACTAAGACAAATATGTTGATTTGGCAAGAAATAATATTTCTTTTGCAATTTTCATAAAAAAAGAAAAGCTTTTTGGAACAAAACTATCCTTTAAAGATTTAATTAGATAAAAAAAAACTTCTTTTAAATAAAAAGTATTTGAATTTCCTTCATTTTTGATAGTAATTTTTTTATTTCAGTATTTGAATTTTTTGTCTTTGTTGTTTATAGCTACATATATGAAATATAATATTTCACATATGTTTTTTTTTATAATTTCATAAAATACTAATATATTATATACTAAATTTCAAATTTTTATTTTAGTTGGCCACTTCTAACTTGAAATCCTAGATCTGTCACTACTAATAGTGACATTTCATTAATAAATAAAATTAAAATGAGTTAAATCCTTAAAAATAAATTACTTTTTATATATGCAAGGTCAATGGATTTAATAAAAGCAAATCACTTAAATATAGTATATGAAGAATTTAATCAGAAATTAACATTAAAAAAAAAAGAGAGATTAGGTTTTTTTTTTTTTTTTTTTTTTTACATTTTAGTTTCACAGTGTTGTTGGATAGTAACATTGTGGTTTGGAAACTTTTGGCTAAAAACTTCTTCTCCATTAATATCAAATATTTTATGTTTATTTTATTTTATTTTTTTGAACTGAAGGGAGGTCAGTGATTTTAACGTAACTTTTTGACAAAAACTTATACGCACTTATTATCAGCTAAATGTTCATGTTCAAACGTTTTGTTTTCATGTAATTATGTATTAAAATTGTGTAATAATCCTAAATAAAGGAATTGTGTAAATTAACACTAACAATGAACCTGCTGTATTAAAATATTGAAATTTTAGTTTGAGCGTATAACATGGTGAAATTTCCTTAAATTTTCATGTAAAATATGGTTTAATTAATTAAACAATAATATTTTATGATTTCATTTGGATAAAGGTAGGATGACTGTACCGACACAAGCATGAGAAACAACAAGACTTGGAATGATATTAAGAAAGAAGCCATGATTTGGATAGTTCAAAAGAATATTTCATTAATTACATTGTCAGGTATTTGTTAAGCTCCTTTCCAATTAATTTTCCACGAAGACTAATAAATTAACGTGGTCATGGCACTAATAAATTAGTAAATGTGGTTTTACATGTATATTTAATAAAAGAATAACTTAGTAAATATGGTTTTAGCATAAAGGAATAAATATGGTTTTAGCATAAAGGAATAATCCCCTTGTCCGGTATAATGGTGTAAACATATTTTAATAAAAGAAACAAACAAAGCTAGACAGGCCTGTAACACATACAGCCTACCAACATAGCTTACGTTTATTCATTTAAGCCCAAATTCTAGTCCAATAAGGCGAATAGCCTGCAACACAAAGTAATTAAATAATCAATAAGTTGATATACACTTTTAGATTAAGTGGTTCCGAACTTTAACTTGAAGAATTGGTTTAATTCAATAAATATATGTTTATATAGTAAATCGGTACATGATTATAAAATTGAATATTTGTTTAATTATGAATATATGTGTACAATCTACACAGATATTATAACTTAATGCCTACCTAGTAAATGATAATATAATTTTTTTAAAACAAATAAAAATATGTTTGGCATATTAAAATAAAATAGATATTTCAGTATTCAATCAATAAAAGTAATTAAAAGTTTAAACAATAATATTCTTATTATTAGATTTATAAAGAGGTAATAGTAATGATGATTGATTGATGAAAATTGATTTCTTTTAAAATAATTTTATGAATTTTTTAATTTCTTTACTAGTTTAAATATATTACTGTATTTTTCTATTGTAATTTTAATTGAATGACTGTATGGGAATTCTATATATTAATAAATAACCATTTATATTAAAATTAGCACCTTAGTTCCTTATGTATATGTATATATATATATATATGTATGTGTATATGTATGTATTCCTTTGTTTTGGTTTAAAATTAGCAATTCAAACTTTTCTTTATAAAAAATTAAAACTTTGCATTTATAGCAATATAAATGTATATTTAATTACTACTTATTTTTCAGGGACATTTACATTATAATATTCCTCTATTAATTAAATTTACTACAATTACTTAAATGTATAGAAATAATGCTCTGCATATGAAAATGAAATAAATATTTTATTTAAGAAACAAAAATAATTAACTAATTGCTGCATATATATGGCAAATTCCTAAACTCTATTAGAGTTTTACTCCTAATTAGAGTTCAATTTGCAATGTAAATACGAAAACAGGAAGGTGATGCAAAAACAAATTAATTAGGTGTTAATCTTCCATATATGTAAATAATTCTATTTTTTTTACTCCAAAATCCAAAAATTTCATCAAAACCATTATAAGCAACTTACTTTTTTTAAAAAAATAAATTTAGCAACAAATATTCTCAAAATAAGAACAACAAAAAACCTAGAAATCTATTTTCAAAATATTGCCATGGCTTCCAATTACTATCTCAAGATTACTTATGTAATAGATAGTCGCTTAAAAGATCTCCATTGTTGCATGCTATACAATCTTTTTAACTTAGAGTTAGAGGTTTGTTATGTTTTACTTCTTTATTTCGAAACAACTGTAAAAATATTCCATTAATCGGTCAAATATACTCGTCACATGATTTTATTTGAAAAGTATGGTTCAAACAGTTTACTTTCCTTGTTTGCCAACAACATGTATCTGCAGAATTCCTTCAGTCTATCATTACTCCAGATATCTTGTCTTTTGCATGGGAGGTTGATAGAGACCCTATTAATCATGGACATAAAATGAAAATGTTGGT